TATAGTAGGGGGATGAACCTCAATATTGATGCAAAAATGGTTATTAATAAAGTTAAAAAATTTTAAATGCTAGGTTTTTACATCTTTGCCTTGGCGTTACTGAACATTAGGACATGTTTACAATTACTTTTATATACAAGATGTTTGGAGAATATTATGGTTCACATACGTATGATTTTCGTTGCTTATTTCATTAAAGGAAATGTTCAGGAAGAAACCCTTAGGAAACCTCTGCTTCTCCCAATAAGTGACAGGAACAAAAAGCTCCAAAGAGAATACTTCCTCTGTGGCCACAAATCTCTACTTATCACCTCCAGATCTGATGGCAGAAACTGTGGAATGCAGGTTTAAAATTTCTATTTTGCTTTAACATTTTATATTATTTTATTTTATATTATATTAGAAAGATATATCTAACTGTTAGTTACTATGATTTTTTTTGCCTTGCACAGTGTTTGGTGGGAGTCTAATTGTAAATTGTGGCAGATGCTACTGCAGATTGCAACTTGGGAACTGTTTGGTTAAAAGGCAACCAGCCAACAGGAGTGTCTTCTCAAAGAGCAGGGCATCTCATCCTTGTTAACAGATGTGAATATATTCTTCTTCTAGGATCTCAAAGAGAATGATGTGCAGCACCTGGTTTATTAAGGTTGCAAAAGCTGAGTTAGGAGCCTCTTGATTCCTCTCTGCTCTCTTCAAGAATAACCACCTTAGTTTTCAGAGTAGCAGCCATGTTAGTCTGTATCCGTAAAAAGAAAAGGAGTACCTGTGGCACTTTATGCATCCGATGAAGTGAGCTGTAGCTCACAAAAGCTTATGCTCTAATAAATTTGTTAACCTTAGTTTTAAAACCAAAGAAATCTAGAACTATTCCTATTGAAACTGCTTACTTTTATAAACACACTAAAGCCTTCATTCATTTAAGGAAAAAATGGTCAGTTGCGATTTGTTTTTATTTCTAACCCTATATTTCTACTTAAAAGGTGATAACCTTTGTTTACTCTTTAAATGCTTAAAATGGCTCACAGCAGGACCAACACCAACTAAATCATCCCAGCCAAGGCTTTGTCAAGCCAGGCCTTAAAAACCTCTAAGGATGGAGATTCCACCATCTCCCTAGGTAACCCATTCCAGTGTTTCACCACCTTCCTAGTGAAATAGTGTTTCCTAATATCCAGCCTAGACCTCCCCCACTGCAACTTGAGACCACTGCTCCTTGTTCTGTCATCTGCCACCACTGAGAACAGCCGAGCTTCATCGTCTTTGGAACCCCCATTCAGGTAGTTGAAGACTCCTGCTATCAAATCTTCTCTTCTGCAGACTAAATAACCCGTTCCCTCAGCCTCTCGTCGTAAGTCATGTGCCACAGCCCCCTAATCATTTTCGCTGCCCTCCGCCGGACTCTCTCCAATTTGTCCACATCCCTTCTGTAGTGGGGGGACCAAAACTGGATGCAATGCTCCAGGTGTGGCCTCACCAGTGCCAAATAGAGAGGAATAATCACTTCCCTTGATCTGCTGGCAATGCTCCTACTAATACAGCCCAATATGCCATTGGCCTTCTTGGCAACGAGGGCACACTGCTAAGTCATATTCAGCTTCTCATCCACTGTAATCCCAAGGTTCTTTTTTGCAGAACCACTGCTTAGCCAGTCGGTCCCCAGCCTGTAGCAGTGCATGGGATTCTTCCTTCCTAAGTGCAGGACTTTGTACTTGACCTTGATGAACCTCATCAGATTTCTTTTGGCCCAATCCTCCAATTTGTCTAGGTCACTCTGGACCCTATCCCTACCCTCCAGCATATCTACCTCTCCCCCCAGCTAAGTGTCATCTGCGAACTTGCTGAGGGTGCAATTCATCCCATCATCCAGATCATTGATAAAGATGTTTAACAAATCTGGCCCCAGGACCGACCCCTGGGGCACTCCGCTTAATACCAGCTGCCAACTAGACAATGAGCTGTTGATCACTGCCCACTGAGCCCAACAATCTAGACAGCTTTCTATCCACCTCATAGTCTGTTCATCCAATCCATACTTTTTTAACTTGCTGGCAAGAATACTCTGGGAGACCATATCAAAAGCTTTGCTAAAGTCGTTATATCACATCCACCGCTTTCTCCATATCCACAGAGCCAGTTATCTCTTCATAGAAGGCAATCAGGTTGGTCAGGCATGACTTGCCCTTGGTGAATCCATATTGACTGTTCCTGATCACCTTCCTCTCCTTCAAGTGCTTCAAAATGGATTCTTTGAGGATCTGCTCCATGATTTTGCCGGGGACTGAAGTGAGGCTGAAGTGAACAAGTCTGTAGTTCCCCGGGTTCTCTTTCTTCCCTTTTTTAATATGGGCACTATATTTGCCTTTTTCCAATCATCTGGGACCTCCCCTGATCACCACAAATTTTCAAAGATAATGGCCAATGGCTCTGCAATTACATCAGCCAACGTCCTCTGCACCCTCGGATGTACTAGATCTGGACCCATGGACTTGTGCACGTCCAGCTTTTCTAAATAGTCCTTAACCTGTTCTTTTACCACTGAGGGCTGCTCACCTACTCCCCATACTGTGTTCCCCAGTGCAGCAGTCTGGGAGCTGACCTTGTCTGTGAAGACCGACGCAAAAAAAGTATTGAGTACTTCAGCTTTTTCCACATCATCTGTCACTATGTTGCCTCCCCCATTCAGTAAGGATCCCACACTTTCCCTGACCACCTTCTTGTTGCTAACATACCTGTAGAATCCCTTCTTGTTACCCTTCACATCCCTTGCTAGCTGGAACTCCAGTTGTGCCTTGGCCTTCCTGATTACACCTCTGCATGCTCCAGCAATATTTTTATACTCCTCCCTAGTCATCTGTCCAAATTTCCACTTCTTGTAAGCTTCTTTTTTGAGTTTAAGCTCACCGAAGATTTCACTGTTAAGCCAACCTGGTCGCCTGCCATATTTGCTATTCTTTCTGCACTTCGGGATTGTTTGTTCCTGCGCCCTCAATAAGGCTTCTTTAAAATACAGCCAGCTCTCCTGAACTCCTTGCCGCCTCATATTAGCTTCCCAGGGGATCCTGCCCATCAGTTCCCTAAGGGAGTCTAAGTCTGCTTTTCTGAAGCCCAGGGTCCATATTTTGCTACTCTCTTTTCTTCCTTTTGTGAGGATCCTGAACTCAACCATCTCATGGTCACTGCTGCCTACGTTGCCACCTACTTCTACTTCCCCTACCAATTCTTCCCTCATATCCATAGAGAGAAGACATAAGCTAACTTTGGCAAACAGAGAGAACCAGTGGGTTTTACTCATGAATTTGCTTTTCAAGAACATGCCTGCAAATGAATCAGTGAGTTTACAAGAAATATAATTATTTCAAGTGAATAACTCTTGAATGACTTCTTAAGAATCTGAGTTAAATATTTTCTTCATTTTCATAGGTCTTAGTTAATACTACTAACAACCTAGCCCTTACACTTTTCAATAGTAGATCTCAAAGCACTTTACAAAGCAGGTCAGTATCATTAGCCACCCTATTGAAGAGATGAGGAAACTGAGGGCACAGACAGGGGAAGTGACATGCCCTAGGCCACCCAGCAGGCTCGTGGTAGAGCTGGGAACAGAAACGAGGACTCATGAATCTATAGCTAGTGCTCTATCCACTAGACTACACTTCCCCTAGTTAAGCTTACTTACCTCTGCCTATTTATAAACTGTTTATGTTATCCATGATACACCAAACTAGATTCACCAAGCCTGAAACAAAATTCCTTTGTTCATGTATAAACTGTGTTATCTATGGTACACTAAAACAGGACTTACTACTGATTTGGGGAATAATATACTTTGGTCTTATCTTACCTAGAGAAGAGTGTCCCCAACAGGATGGACCCACTCTCTAATGTATAATATCTCTGTTAAGAGCTCTCCACAGAACCGTACAAAAGAGATTGTGTCTGAAGTAACCATTGCTTACTGCTTGTTTATGTTCTGGTTTGTTTTGTCTTTATTTTCTTTTTCTTTCTTTTCCTTTCTTTAATAATAAAATAGTCATAGTTAATAACAGTGATTATTCTGCCTGTCTTCAATCACGGTATCCCCTCAGGTGTGGCAGGCAACCCATGTAATTAAAATAGTGGAGGTTACATCCTTGAAATGGCATTAAAAGAAGCAGATATTAAAATTCAGCCTACCATTTCTTGTTTCTCTAGGCTGTACTTTAAAAAAAATTGGATAAAAATATTTGACGCCCAACACCTTAAGAGATCCCTTTCTACTCTGAACACACCAGCCACAACCAAGTAATCAGTGCACAGTAAGTAAGGAATTGGATTTGACTGGAGCCAACAAATATTTGGGTTCAAGATAGTGATGGGAAAGTTGAACTAAGTTTTCTTTTAGAAGAGATTGAAGTAAGAAGAAATGGAAATGGGGTCATTCAGATCTAAGACCATGATTCCATTCCCTTCTGCAGAGACAATGCTAACAATGTGCTGGAGTAATGACATCCTCTTGACACGCTCTTTTCTTTTACAAATAGACTTTGTTCTTTGAATGGTAGAGTGGGTTGTTTCCCTTCAATTTTAGTCATATTTTGAGATGCTGACAATTCACAAGTATATGTGAATGTCATACACTGCACTGCCAGAGATTATATGCATCCATAGTCATTGGAACAGTTCATTTTTTGATCATGATACATTAAAAATGCAAATCTGTTGTAAACTTCTTCATGTAATTGATTGCATGGGGTGCATTAACAATGAATTCTTCCCAAATGACCAGTATGGGGGCTAGAATTGATTGCATACACATATGTATATGTGCGTCTCTAATTAAATTACTTATATGCAAATTTGAGCTTTAAGTTGCCACATTATGTCTCAGTGAGATTGTATAAAACTAGAGCAAGTTAATATAGTCTATAAAAAGATCAGCAGAAAAACACAACTGTTACAGAAATATTAACAATCTATTTGTGTTTTGCACTTCAGTGCCTGCAGTAATTAAAGTTTACCTGTTTCTCTTCTTCCAATGCTCCCGATTAGAATTTTCTGACTCACTACCACTGCTTGTATTACAACGAGATCGTGACCTAGGGAGTGGAACAGTAAATCAGGAACTAAGAACAAGAATCATCCATTAGTTCACTCTCAATATTAACTATGTAACATTTTGTAATTAATACTTTATAAAATAAAGAGCTTGTGTTCATTTGTTTCCTATTATTAGAATGTCCATAATACTGTAAAGTTCTGTACAAGTCTATGAACAATATCCAACAAGAAGTAGGAAACAGTAGAGATGCAGAGAGAATGTAAAACTTCGTCTATACTTGAAAGTGATTTCAGAGTATGTTTTTCCGTGTTAATGATCAGAAACAATTGTTTTGAAAGCAGATATCCACACTGCTGTGTTTTCTAGGCTTTAGCTACTTACGTTTTGGACCACTGAGTCCACACAGTACTGCATTTCTTCAAAATAACTGCACAGCCTTCAGGATGGGCATCCCACTGTGTAGTCACAGAAACATAGAAATGTAGGGCTGGAGGGGACCCCAAGAGGTCAGCTAGTCCAGTCCCCTGGGCTGAGGCAGGACCAAGTAAACCTAGACAATCCCTGATAGGTGTCTGTCTGATGGGGATTCCACAACCTCCCTTGGTAACCTATTCCAGAGCTTAATTACCTTTAGTTAGAAGGATAGCTATCCTACATTTCCCTTACTGCAAATTAAGCCGATTTACTTCTTGTCCTACCATCAGTGGACATGGAAAATTGATCACTTCACTCTTTCTAGCAGCCCTTAATATATTTGAAGAGTGTTGTCAGGTCCCCCTCCCACCCTGGTCTTCTTTTCTCAAGACTAAACATGTCCAGTTTTTTAAATCTTTCCTCATAGGTCAGGTTTTCTAAACCTTTTATAAGTTTTCTTGCTCTCCCGTATACTCTCTCCAATTTCTCCACATCTTTCCTAAAGTGTGGCACCCAGAACTGGACACACTACTCCAGCAGAGGCCTCACCACTGATAAGCAGAGTGAAACAATTACCTCCCATATCTTATATACAACACGCCTTTTAATACATCTCAGAATGGTATTAGCCTTTTTTCACAACTGCATTACATTTTTGATTCATATTGAATTCATGATCCACTATAACCCCTAGATCTTTTTCAGCAGTCCTAGCACCTAGCCAGTTATTCCCAATTTTGTAGCTGTGCATTTCATTTTTCCTCCCTAAGACTCCCTACTTTGCACTAGTCTTTATTGAATTTCATATTGTTGATTTCAGACAAACTCTCTGATTTGTTAAGGTCCTTTTGAATTCTAGTCCTGTCCTCCAAAGTGCTTGGAACCCCTCGCAGTTTGGTATCATCAGCAAATTTTATAAGCATATTCTTTACTCCATTACCCAAATCATTAATGAAACTATTGAATGTTCTCCTGCTAGGCTCTAGGCATTCTGAGCTTCTTCTCCCTGCACGTTTTGGCACACCTACCAGAACCCACTATAATTCTGGGACTTGGGGACAAACCAAAAATTTCTGATGATTCCTCTCCTTTCACCCCATCATTCCCCTTGCTTTTTGAGAGTTGCACGATTTTCAAACTGGTATGAAGCAGCATGGAGGAAACACTGCTGACAGTCAGTATATGAACAGGCTGTCAGGTGTCATGATGATGCAGGCAATATGGGTACATGAGAAGGAAACCGAGCAGTCACTTTTGCATGAGCTTGTCTTGGAGCGGCTTCTCTCTTTGAACCACTGCTTCAGGACTCTCCCAATTAGCACCTTCCTCGCTTATCAAGCCTTTCACTGGCCACTTGGACAGGAGAAAGGAGCTGTTTAACTATACCCTGAGCTTGCTGCATTTTGTACAACCTCTGAGACAGCAAGCAAGAGAGCCCTCACCAATGGGTGGGAAGAAGAGGTGGAGAGATTTTCTGGATGTTATGAACAGCCAGAGAAATTACCTTTATTGAATGATGCAACTGGTCAAGGACACAGGGTCAGTGATGTGTTGTGTTCCTATTATGAGGCTAGACTGTTATATCTTTGTGTAAGGATTTCATGCTGCTCTCTGAAAAAGATCTTTGGAAATTTTCAACCAATTTCATGACATTTTTAAGAATGAAAGTATGGCCAGACTGGGTCAGACCAATTGTCCATCTAGCCCAGTATCCTGTCTTTCAACAGTGGCCAGTGACAGATGCTTCAGAAGGAATGAACAGAATGGCAGTTATCGAGTGATCCATTCCCTCTCATCCAGTCCCAGCTTCTGGCAGTAAGAAGTTGAGGGACACCCTGAGCATGGGGTTGCGTCCCTGACCATTTTGGCTAATAGCCATTGGTGTGTGAATTTACCATGAGCTGGATCACACAGGGGTGCATCTGGCTCACACCAGCATTTAAACAGTGAGGTGACAGCCAGTCTGGATGACCCCAGAAGAGTAGAGGGCACACAGGTAAACAGACAGGCTGACCCAGGTGTGCAGCAAAGTAATGTGGGATTGCAGTGGGAGATGAAACATTTGAATTGAAATAGGGATGTGTTCACAGCTAACTTCTTGTGAGAAAACTCATCCTGAATGTTGGTAAACTCGCTTCCAAAGGAAGTTAATTACAGTAGGTTGAGACACCAGATAATTCTAAACAAAAACGTGTATGTAGAGGCAATGCAATTTATCCTGAAAACCTCAAGTTGATCCAAAATAACTTTCAAGTGTAGACAAGCCCTTAGTAAACTTTCACCAGGCGGTATAGTACGGTAGGGTAACTTCTAGTGAGTTTTGCCATGGTGAGTCTAGAAGCAGTAACTGAGGTCGTACTATGAAGCTTTTCAGCGGACAAAGGGTACTTATACAGTTTTACATGGGTGGGATTCAACACATTTTTAAATGATCCAGTAAAAAAACTAATACAAAGCTCTAAATGTAGCAATTTAGACAGATGGATAAGTACAAAATAGACAACTTTGTGCTATTGTAGGTTATTAAAGTATTGTAATTAAACAACATTCTGTATGCTACCATTTTGTTGTTTGTATTAGAATGTAATTCATCCCTATTGAGACATAAATACAGAAGTCTCCAATATTCTCTTTCCAACCTCTCCTTGTCAAATAATATTTACCTTCTCCTTTGCTTTAGATCTGAATCTTCACCACTGTTCTGGGCTTTCCTATGACATAAAGATAATTAAGGAAGCTTTGAATGAAACATTACTGGCCACTTGAAGTCTAATATTAATAGGCACTCACCTTCTCCAACAAAGCCTTCAGAAAGAAAATAGTTGATGCTTGTAAAGCGCTTGAAGGATCAAAGTATTCTTATACCATTTTAAAAACTACCATATGCACATGGAACACTGGTGAGTTATCTGTGAGATCTGAAATTCATTTTCTAAAGAGTACTGAACGACTTTAAAAAACTTAGAATGACTTAAGTGGACTTTGCAAATAAACAGAAGGAAAAAACAGTCTGATCAGGTTGTGATTCTACTGAGTTTAACAGTGTTCTTTAAAAGTGGCCCGAAAAAGATTTTTCATTGATCTTGTGCCCACTTTTGCTTCTGTATGATGTATAAAGAAGGGATTAAGGGCTGATTTTTTTCTCTTTGTTTTTTTACAATAAAAATATGAGGAATGTCAAGTTTGGTTCTCCCCGGTTTATTTGGAGGACCTCCTCGGGGAACCAGAAATGTATATTCTGAGTTCTCGCATCTTACCTAAGGAGGAAATATGGTGTTCAATCTGCAACAAGGAGGTTCCTTTTCCAAAAGTCACTGAAGTTAACCAGACCAATTGAGGCCAGATCCTCGTGTGAATCAGTGAAGCTAAGCTGATCTACATCTGCTGAGGATCAAGTCTGAAGGTTATAAGCAACTGACAAAAGATCCTTTCCTCTCTCAATTATTGTGATGTCAGTTTTACTAGTTCTCCGGTCATCAGAGAGTCTTTCAAAGCAGACAAGTCCTGAATTTTTAAGTATTTAGAAAATAACAAAAACTTTTAGGTCTTCTTTATACATTAGTATAAAGCAAAATATTGACACACTTTTTATTTTGTTCACCTTGAACTTTGCAGGTCATCTTTAACTATGCATAGATGGATGGCTATAGTTCCCTCTACAGTCAATGACAAAGCTCTCGCATTGACTTCAGTGGGAGCAAGGTTGAGCTCAGCAAGTTAGCCAATAGAGTGCATTCAGTGTAGTAAAGTCTGACTTTTTTCTACTAAGGCTAGTAAACAGCACACAAACAGCACAATTATTCTGTTATAAGGCAGATGAAAAAACAAAGAGCACTAATGAAATTCAAGACTCAGCAGGATATAATTGGGTTAACATCTGACAGTGTCCACAATCTCATGTATGAGATAAGACTTTGAAAAACATTTCTATAATGCTGTGGCCTAAGAGAAAATGTGTTATTGGCATGACCACCTAACAATATTGTAGATATTGCAGATGCCTGTCCCAGGTAATACATGCTACACATCTCAGAAAGACCTCTTATTGCATGGCACACAAGTGTTATACTTTTCATGACATACAGTGTTATACATTGCACATCTAAATTTCCTTTTTTAAAACTGACCCCAGTGAGCATTCGGATGGCTAAAATTGAACTGTATCAGAATAATGGTCTCAGGAAAATAAAATACATTCCAAGTAAGACTTACAAGCGCCAGATACCCAGCAGGTGGAAATCAACATAATCCAGTGACTTCAATAGAGCTATGCTGGTTTATACCAGCTGAGGATCTGGCCCACAGGGTCCAGTACAGAGGTGGACAAACTGCAGCCCGCAGGCCACATCCGGCCTGTGGGACCGTCCTGCCTGGCCCTTGAGCTCCCGGCTGGGGAGGTTAGCCAGAGCTCTAGGTGGCAGGGCTGCGAGTTCCTGCCAGGCAGCGTGGCTGTGAGATCCGCCAGCTGTAGTGTATTAAATTGCTCCCCGTAGGAATGTGCTACTTATGGTGTACTACTTACAGCTGCCAGTCCTGGTGCTCTGAGCAGCATGATAAGGGGGTGGGGAGTGGGGGGGTTGGATAAGGGGCAGGAGGTTCTGGGGGGCAGTTAGAGGACAGAGAATGGGGCAGCTGGATAGGCAGGGGAGTCCCGTGGGGCCTGTCAGGGGGCGGGGATGTGGACAGGGGTTGGGGCAGTCAGGGGACAGGGAGTAGGTGGGGTCCCGGGGGGGTGGTTAGGGGCGGGGGGGCCTGGGATGGGGCGGTCAGGAGACAAGGAGCAGGGAGGGTTGGATGGGGCGGGAGTTCTGAGGGGGGCAGTCAGGGGGTGGGAAGTGGGAGTGGGTGGGGGCCAGGCTGTTTGGGGAGGCACAGCCTTCCCGACCCAAGTGTAGTGTATTAAATTGCTCCCTGTAGGAATGTGCTACTTACGGTGTACTATTTACTGCCAGTCCTGATGCTCTGCAAGTAGCACATTCCTATGGGGAGCAATTTAATACACTGCACCAGCCCTCCATACATTTTCAGAATGCCGATGTGGCCCTCAGGCCAAAAAGTTTGCCCACGCCTGGTCTAGTATGAGGTTATCAGGCAGATTTACCTGGTGAGATCTTCACCACTGCTCACCCATTCATGCAGAATAAAAGGGCTGCAGTAGCATAAATGTCCCTAAAAACCCTATAATCCATCTGGGAGAGGATTCCCTCACCTTCAGGGCTGGTCTCTGAGGACTCCCTTGCAAGCCCTGATATCAGAGGCATACTGAGGACAGTGCTCAGGGTGTTCGGGGCAGGGCTGCAGCACACTGCACTCTGGAGATTCCCGGAAGTGCTGTGGCTGACATAACTAAGATAACCCTGGAGACCTATTGAAAGTATGCTGGGAGTCTCTCCAGCACTCGGCGCACCCCAGGATTGCAGCTGCAAAGGGCTGTTGGATTACAGTAGCCCCAGTTCTTCCTGGATTGCAAGTTCGGGGCTTTGTCTGTAACTCACACAGCACAGAATCTCACCCCATATTGTTTTATTGTATTTGACTAAGTTACTCAAATGTTTGTATAATTAAAGGAACATACCAAATAGTTCACAGCTCTGTTTTTGCAGACATATTGTCCAGTGTTCTGAGAGTCACCAAAGGCCATATTGAGGAGCATTTCCTTAATGGCTTCACCAGTTTAGCCTTTTTGTTTGAAACAATAGTGCAGTACTGATATTCTTTCTAAAATCACATTGCCAAACAAGCAGCCTCCTCACTCTGCTCCACGTAGCGAGCAGCAGCAACTGGGATAAGCACATGGGGCAGATCATTCAAATCCCCAAACCAGCTGGCACCAGCAACCACAGCAGGCAAAGGGGCTAAGTCAAGGCCTTCCAGCCTCCCACCTCTCCCACTGGACTTAGGATTTTCCTGGGTCACAGGGGCCACACTTTCTTCCTTCCACATAGAGAGCAGTAATTCTGGAATTTTTGTTCACTCATTGATTATTGGTGCAACTTCTCTTCTCTGACACAGCTCTGGATTAAGCAGCCTTTACTGAGCCCAAAGCAAGGAGAACTGCAAAAGAAGACTTGTGTTGTAAGAAGAAACTAATATAACTCTCCACATTCTTACCTTCTTCTAACTTGTTGCCCAGATTCATTTTCACTGCCACCTGATGGGTTCCGTCGTCGAGAGTAAGGAAACTTTGGTGATTTATTGCAGTCATTGGAAGAATTATACAGTCCACTAGAGTTAAACAGCAGCAGTAAACAATTGACCTCAAAAATATCAGAAGATTTAGATATCCCAGCATCATTGTACAGAAATACTGTGCAGGCACATACTTAGATTTTTAAAAATAGCTGTAATGGCCATGTTAAGAATTAGTACATTTCTCTACTGAATGGAGTGTAGATAACAAGATTTGGTCAAGTTGAGATTGAGGATGTTATTGTTTTTCAGAAATAAATATATTACACTGAATCTTGAAAACAAGGGACAATTATACAGAACCCTTCAGGGTGTGGTAACTGGACATTACAAAGCACTGCCACTGATTCAGTAGTTTAGGGCAGCCACAAAGAAGAACAGACCCATCCATTATTTCTGGCATAGGAAGATTTTGTAATAAAGAACTGTTGTAGCTGAGAGCTAAACTTTCAGATACACATTTTATTTATAATGCTAGTGAAAACAGGAGACTAATCCATACTATAATTTACATATGTAGGGACCTTAGCCCCCTCCCCCAATGTACACATAACTTTAATTAACATAAACCATCCAATTAATGCAAATGGGAGTTATGAGACCGTAGCATAGATGCCCTAAAGAATAGTCCTTGTTTTGAAACTAAAAAGGGTTCCAGAGACTTTATGCACTGAAATAAAAATGTCAGCAATTGCATCTATAAATATTAAAAACAAATATGCTATGGAACCAAACAACATGAACCTCTCAAGATATTTTCTTAATTGCAATTAACCAAAGCTTTCACTCAGGTTTTAGCTCTCCACACTACCATCCACACAGAAAAACCTATTACCTGAGTCTAGAGATGCTTTGAACACAGCTTGCTTACGTGGCTAGAGGTATAGGTCTATATAGCTGAGCTCTACTTTAACTTGGGCTGGAACATGCTCACTTTCCAGTGTGGCTGCAGCCCGTACCCAGGTTACATAACTCAAGTGCTGAAAGTCCTCCAATGCCTTTCCACAATTTCTCCAGGGTTGTATTTTCCTGCCCTTCTACCTATTCCCTTCCTCCGTGCCCGCCAGATGTCACCTTACACCAGACTGACATTTATGCCCCACATTCCATGAGACTTGCTCCATTTCTGCACAGCACTCAGAGAGCACTAGAACAGAGAGGCCATCCAGGAAATCCTCATCCCATTGTGTTGCTGGCTGGTCAGAGGCTCACACCAAAATCAACATATCTGTGAGAACATCGCCAAGAGACTGGCAGAGGTGGGGATTCATCAAATGGGAATAGCACAGGAAAAGTATCAAAAACTTGAAGAGTGCACACTGCAAGGCAAGAGACTCCAACAGCAAGTCTGGCATCTAACCAGGAATACCATCAACTTGCTTCTGAACTCATATGGCCTCTTCATCTGCGTGTCCTGGCACTGAAGGGTCAGCACAAGTTCCTCACACAGCTCCACATAGGTAGCCTTACTCATGTGTAGGTGTCAAGGTTCCTCCCCCATTCTGAACTCTAGGGTACAGATGTGGGGACCTGCATGAAAAAACCTCCTAAGCTTATCTTTACCAGCTTAGGTCAAAACTTCCCCAAGGTACAAAATATTCCCCCCGTTGTCCTTGGACTGGCCGCTACCACCACCAAACTAATACTGGTTACTGGGGAAGAGCTGTTTGGACGCGTCTTTCCCCCCAAAATACTTCCCAAAACCCTGCACCCCACTTCCTGGACAAGGTTTGGTAAAAAGCCTCACCAATTTGCCTAGGTGACTACAGACCCAGACCCTTGGATCTTAAGAACAATGAACAATCCTCCCAACACTTGCACCCCCCCTTTCCTGGGAAATGTTGGATAAAAAGCCTCACCAATTTGCATAGGTGACCACAGACCCAAACCCTTGGATCTGAGAACAATGAAAAAGCATTCAGTTTTTACAAGAAGACTTTTAATAAAAAATAGAAGTAAATAGAAATAAAGAAATCCCCCCTGTAAAATCAGGATGGTAGAGATCTTACAGGGTAATTAGATTCAAAAACATAGAGAACCCCTCTAGGCAAAACCTTAAGTTACAAAAAAGATACACAGACAGAAATAGTTATTCTATTCAGCACAATTCTTTTCTCAGCCATTTAAAGAAATCATAATCTAACACATACCTAGCTAGATTACTTACTAAAAGTTCTAAGACTCCATTCCTGTTCTGTCCCTGGCAAGAGCAGCATACAGAGAGACACAGACCCTTTGTTTCTCTCCCTCCTCCCAGCTTTTGAAAGTATCTTGTCTCCTCATTGGTCATTTTGGTCAGGTGCCAGCGAGGTTACCTTTAGCTTCTTAACCCTTTAAGGTTAAGGGTTAAGGTCCAAGGTGAGAGGAGCTTTCCCCTGGCCAGCAGGGATTTCAAAGGGGTTTACCCTTCCCTTTATATTTATGACAGTAGGGAAGACCCAATGTTGGTCATCCCAGGTCTGCATGATGATGTAGTCCCACCATTCAGTGCTTGTGGTCTTTGATACATCAGTCATGATGGGGGATTCACAGCAACTAAATCCTGAATCAGCTGTGCCTATTGTGCCATATCCGCATACAGTCTGCTGATCTCAGCAAGACACACTGTTGCCTTCTCAGGGTGACAAGCCACTGCCAAAATGCTCTCCACCACATTTCATGCCCTGCACTGGCCAGCTATTCCAGAAATAAGAGTTGCATTAATGCCAACAGCTGGAACAGGTCATGAACGGGTCCTGAGCTGGATCCAGGCCTTGCTACTTGTTGGAATGGAGGCACAGCAATGTGGAGCATGCCAAGCTGGAAGTGCTTGAGTTTACTGACTTTGAGGGCTAAGACTACTTTCGCACAGGGGCCTAGGAAGGACAGACAAGTCTGATGTTCTGACTGGATCACAGCACAAGTTAATTAATTTACAATATGATAATTCCCCACAAATACCCTTGGTGTGAAAATATTTAAGGAAAAGGTCATATATATGACAGCATGTGTATACTCTGGCCACAATGTCAGGTAGAAGGCAAAACAAGTGCTTCCAAAACCCCAGTGAGTATATATTTCATTATGACAGAGTAGTTTATTGCTCTTACACTAAGTAGCTCCACAATCTTTTTGGATGAGATATGTTAAACTAAGGTCCTAAATTGGTGCATTGAAGATCACTTGGTATTTTTCACAAAAAAAATGATATAGTAACACCATGTATTCTGCCCAAAATCCGGTTTGGGTGTTACATTCTGCCTTCCTAAATACCCTCTGGTGTTTCAGTTACATTATTCTTCTTAACTCCCTGCCATAAATGGTTATTTTAGAGCATTACTGTGCTCAGTTCAAGAGTTGGTACTTCATTCCAGAGGTGACTGCATTTCAATGGTGGAAATTCTTTATTAGACACCCTGAAAACCAGCCTATGCAGCCAAGTGCTTTGGGATGGAAGGAGCTATATAATTTCAAGATCATCATTTGGCTGCTAAAATATCAAACTTGCATCTTCCCAAAGGGGTCATTTTAACACAAAAGCAGCAACATCGCAATTGCATAACATTTCCTCTCTCAAAGGTCACAAAATCATTTTTAATGTCAATTTACCATGAATGTAATAATATACTAAATGTTTCAACTAGATTAAGCATAATGCTTATTTCTTCTGCAAAAGTGTAATTTGCTACCAGGATATTACTTTTGTACTCTGATTTACATTACTGAAAAATAAATACATGCACTTTACGCTTCCAGCAACAGAATACTTATCAATTGTTTCGTTCTTTCCCTGAAAGGGCACTGATCAGAACAAGCCATGATGGCATCCAGAATGTACAAATGGAACCCAGGGACTTATGCAGAAATACCAGGTAACATGCTACACATACAGGTCTGGCTCCTGGAATGCATGATATATTGTCACTCGGACCTTGCTACTCATAAATATATTACATCAACCATTCTTGCACCATCAACCAAGCAAAATCTTTGCTATTGCATGATGTTTACCTTACCTCTGGGGGCCATTTTCCTCCCATGGTGCACTTATTTTACTTCTTTGGGTTTCTGGACTATTTTCACTTTTTGCCTTTTTAAAGCTAAGGAAAAATACATATAAAAATAAAAACCATGACAATGATGATTTAAAAACACTTTATTTTGCCTATGACCTCATTAATGCTTATTCTAGAGACTGAGGGCTTGTGGCTTGTCTGAGGGCGTGTCTACACTTACCAGGGGATCAATGCACGGTGATCGATGCATCGGTGGTCAATTTAGCAGGTCTGGTGAAGACCCACTAAATCGACCACAGATCGCTTTCCCGTCAACTCCTGTACTCCACCTGAATGAAAAGTGCAAGGGGAGTAGATGGGAGAGCATCTCCCATTGACATAGCGTAATGTGGACGCGGGGTAAGTAGATCTAAGTACGTCGATCTCAGCTATGTTATTCACCTAGCTGAAGTTGCGGAACTTAGATTGATCTCCCCCCGTAGTGTAGACAAGACCTGAGAAAACCCAGTTCTCAGGCATAAAATCATTGGCCCTCCATCCGGAAGAACTCCTCACAGAAACATCAGCTATGGAAGTTGGAAAGAGCACCAGCAAATTAGCTCTGCAATATCATTTCTGACTAACTCTGGAAAAAAATGTTCCAAGGCAGCCCGGGATAGGACAGTGGACTCACAAGTAGTTAGTAGTGAGCATCTGACTGAACTCTTACACTACCTATGGAGGAGAAGCCATCAATATGTTCTAAAACAGTGGCTCTCAAACTTTCCAGACTACTGTACCCCTTTCAGGAGTCTGATTTGTCTTGCATACTCCAAGTTTCACCTCACTTAAAAAGTACTTGCTTACAAAATTAGACATAAAAATACAAAAGTGTCACAGCACACTACTACTGAAAAATTGCTTATTTTCTCATTTTTACTATATAATTATAAAATAAATCCATTGGAATATAAATATTGTACTTACATTTCAGTGTATAGTTTACAGAGCAGTATAAACAAGTCATTGTCTGTATGAAATTGTAGTTTGTACTGACTTTGCTAGTGCATTTTGTATAGCCTGTTGTAAAACTAGGCAAATATCTAGATGAGTTGATGTGCCCCCTGGAAGACCTCTGTGTACCCCTGGTTGAGAACTACTGTTCTAAAACACCTGAATCTTTGCAAGATCATCTGTAATATCTCTTCTTTCTTTCAGTTTCTTTTTCCATTGCTGGTTTGTACATTTTCTACTCCAGCCAAGGAAAAATGGCCAAGACTCCCTGGACAGGCTATCAGTGTCACTCCAAGAACTGGTTTCTGGTTGGAGAATGCTCTCTCTCTCTCTACATTGGCTGATCATGCCTTCCCCACAGCACCTACAGTTTTTGCAGCTGGGAATACTAACTCAGACTCCCAGTCCAGCGTACCACTGGATAATCAAGCTCCTCATAACTGTCACAGCATCATATTGTAAATATAAATGCTACAGACACTTCCAAAGTACAAACCATCAACAGAGGCTTCTAGAGAGGTTTAGAGAGACACAAGCCAGCATTCTTCACTGTAAAGGTAAAGTTTCTCACCTCCCTGATAGACTCAGCTTTATTAAGAAAACTTGGATACTTAATTTGTTAATCTACTTTTAACCTCAGCCTTCTGTTACTCCAGGTCATTGAGTTAATCATTTAATTCTCATATAGTGTAAAAATTGAAAAGCTACCAACAAGGCAGCAGAAAAAGACAGAAATTAAATGAGGTCACTTCAGAAGGTGAATCATATTTTTCTTAATATTGCACCCATTTGGCTGTCAATTCAGATGTATGCAGAGAATCTATTCCCAACCCCAACTCACTGCAGTTGGTGCAAATGAACCCGATAAATAGGTTCTGTCCTGTATTGAGGGACCCTCCCCTGCCCATTTTTCCCCCCATTGCATTACAATTACCCAATGAGGTGATCATTAGAATGGTGACACAATTTTAAATGTATGTCCAACACAGTTTTAAAAAAGAGAAAGAGGAATAATCCCAGGTGCTGAATTAACAGTATTAGAATTCTAAACCATTTCTCATTCAGAGCAGACATACATTTTACAGAGTGCTAGAGCATGGCAGCTCTTCAGATACTGGCATTATCTTTAGGAATGCAGTTGCAAAAGGGATTGAGCTCATTCAGTATCTCTGAAAAGGTTAGCACTGGAATTTCATGAGAGATTACTGTTTTTTTTCTGGTTTATCTTGAATTTATATCATTTATGCACAGGTGACCAGCTATCTATTTCAGCAGTGAATGAGATGCTAAGCTATGAAGACTCAGCTCAGAAGAGTTGATAAAAGATGCCTTGTAAGCATTTTTAGAGTGTACTACTAGAATGAAGTGGGATGGAGTACCAAATTGCAAATGCCTCACAGAGGAAGTATGCTGTCTGGTCCCCATGTTTAGTAGAGGTGGAAAATATTTCTCAAATGCTGATACAGATACAAAGAAAAATCAAGGCACTTTAGGAATTTTGTTATTTAACTCTCACACTAGAGAAACTTCTCTCTTAATATCTTCTCTAACAGTGGAACAAGTCTCTATACAGACACGTGCCTACAATACATAAGATATGCAGCCTGCAAGGAATAGCAGATATACTCTGAAGTTGTTTTAACCAGTTCTTTTCATTTAAAATGATTAACACCGTTTAAAAACATACATCAATGGGAATCTGCGGCAGAATTTTTTAGACTTTCAATTTTGTCATGTTCAGGTTTTCAGGTTCAGGTTTTCTTTCCCTCTTAAGTATATCTATTAACTGGAGAAGTATATTTCAGTTTTGAAAATTAAAGAGAATGGATCATTATATTCAATGGAGTGTTGCTGATTTACATCAGCTCATGATCTGGCCCAAAAGATTCTTAAACTTTAGTCAATATTATGCCTGGCCTTTCCAGTGTCTGCAGCACAGCAGAGTGGGTGGTGGCTGCAAGGACTGACAGCAGTGCCAGATTTCCCAAGGTGGGCAGCTTGGGTGGGATGGGGCCATGCTCACCTTTTCCCCTGCCTCACACCAGAAAGAAGAGCTGGCCCTGAACAGAGGCGGAGAGTAGGAACACATGCTGCGCCCTTTCAGAGGATTTCTCAGACTCCATTCTTCCTCTGCATTCTTGGATACTTTGATCCTGCCTTCTGAAGCTCCCACTGGGGCAGTGGACCTTCACCCCAACCCCAACCCAGGCAGTGTCTTTCATGCCATAATCTGGGGGTTTTTTTGTTTAAATCAAGACTGTATGTCTTTCTAAACCATACACTCTAGTGCAGCCAGAAGATAAGACGTTGATACAGGAATTACTGGGTGAAATTCTATGGCATGTGTTAGGCAGAAGGTCAGACGAGGACACCATGAAGATCCTTCCTGGTCTTAAAAATCTACTAATATTTAATATACTTCTTTTTCTATCCAACACTTTATGGGAGCTCTTCATCAGTAAGCCAAGATTAAACCTGTTTTGGTCTCACTACACTTACCTTTTTACTGGGGAAGGTGCAATAATTTTAGTGGTTCCTTCTTTTTCCCCATTTTCCATATTTGCAGTAACGTGATTTATGCTTTTGGATCCTGGGAAAAAAACAAAACCCCGAACCAACTTTTAATGGCTCTCCTACATATTTTGGCTACTTTGCAGAACTTTACACAATCCTATTGCATTTACTGCGGTATTGTGAAATACAAAAACATACAATTGCTAGAAGAATAGGAGTACTTGTGGCACCTTAGAGACTAACAAATTTATTAGAGCATAAGCTTTTGTGGGCTACAACCCACTTCATCGGATGCACAGAATGGAACATATAGTAAGGAGATATAAATATACATACAGAGAAGGCGGAAGTCGCTAGCTTATTGGTTCCCAGACTCTGGTCCATGAAGCATGTGTTAGCAATCCCTGAGGAGAAACTGGTCAAAAGATACTAGTTCCTTAACTTTATATCTAGCTGCACTGCATTAAAAGAAAGCTAAAAATATATTAAATACTTCCTTAATATTACCTTTCCACATAAGCAATTGCTGCAGTTCCCATACGGATATTATGCAGCTGCAAACAGGAGATGGTCTGCCCAACTATGAATAGGAGGGGAGGTGTCTTTATTAAGATGTAGTCCATACTACAAAAGAGTTGGTAATCCCTGATGTAATAACTGTGTGAAAAGAGGCCACTGAAATAATAATACAGCACAATGGATGGATCTTTTTAAAGGAAACTCTCTCAAATTGATAACTTAACATTGTTTGATGCTTGGATGATTTACCTGTATAACATTCATTATCACAATAGAACTTTGCTAATTTACACTTCTGACCGGAGAACAGCTATCAATTAATGAACTTGTGAAATGAAAAGTAAATAGGCAAACACAATAAACAATCAAAATAATGCTCATGAAACTTTGTCTTTTCTTCATTTATTTTGTCAGTTGTAGTTTAGTTTTAGTGGAGTGTGGATTAGCTAGATTTTTAGTGTATTAGTTATTTATTGGTGCTGACAATGCACTCAACATGTAAACTGACACAATCCCCGCCCCCAGGAATTTAGGACCCAATGTTGATCTGTGGGGGAGTAAGCCATTTAGGGAACTGGGCACTCTGAGCTGCACTCACAGAGTTTGTTTGCTATTTTTCTGTTTGAGGAACCACAGGCTGTGGATTCCAAACCCTCCCCCTCCTCATACTTGTGGATCACAGGGGATCAGCCAGAGACTAGGAGCATATGTATAGAGGACACTTTGCAACAATTTACTCACAATAATCTGTCAGGTGCCTTCCCTATTTTGGTTCCATCCACCCCAAATCTGTAGGGCTGGAATCTATGAAGAGGCTTCCACAAAATGGGAGGAAAATGCAGCACTCCCTCCTTCTATGCCCCCCCTTCCAGGATCCAAGGAAATAGGTTCATGGATTTATGCTTTGAGAAGCAGAGAGACTGTAAACTCAGATTTATTCATACATAACACACTAGGCTAAAACAGTTAAGATCAAAGTAGTATAAAAATGTTACACTGTATATAAATTTCCACATTTCAAAATCATTAAAGGAAGAACTATTTAACCAAATATATCCTGAAGGTTTGTTACCACCATCAAGATTTGTTTATTTTGGTCACACTGCCTTTTTGGCTTCCACACTGTTCAATATAATATTCACGTTTCTGGTGCCTTATTTCTTCTAGGAACTACCAAGGAAAACAATATTTTTAATACTGAGTAAATATCTAACAGAGTGAAGTATACAGATGCCAGAGCTCAGTAAAATTATTCCAAGATTTTTTAAAAAATGGATAGCATTTAGATATTGTACTATTACAATGCAAGATATTTGCAACTAGTTAAGAAATTGCTGGACCTCTGGTACACCCTGTAAAATTTATTATTTTTAACCTGAGGCATGGTATTAGCATTGTACTAAAAATAATCTGGGTGAGACTTCTGTCTGTTCTCTGTACACAGGCTTTATAAAATAACATTCCCTTCAACTCATGCTCTCTCTTTCCACCTCAATGACAGTTTTAGCAGTAGTGCAAGTAGGGTGGTACTCTCCAGTACGCAGTACCGGCAAGAGATTTTTAGCTGGTACGGGGTACCAGAAAGACTTTGGGCTAGCCCCCTCCCTTCAGGGGGGTGGGGGGCTGCACTCTGCTCCTTAAAGGAGAAGAACACAGGTAGGGAGGGCATTCACTCTTTATATGGCTTTAACAGCACAATGCATATGCTAACAAACTTAATCAAAGGCTTTGTTTAAGTTTGTCAACATATGTATTGTGCTGTTAAACTGGTCAGGAGTCTTCAAAAGGGGAGGGGTAGGGTGGGGGGGATGGAAGGTGTTTAAACAGTGTTTTTGATTCTGTTTCTCCCCATTGGTCTGAATTATCCATGGCATTCATACTGCATCACATCAAGTCCAAATCATTAGAGGAATGCCTCTGCTTGCACTGACCAGAGGAGGTTTGGATTCTGATGTCAGCCCAGTTCTGCAGCCTGATGGGAATCAGGTGTTGTCTACAGTGTACATAGAATTCTTCTTTGCAGCCAAACTAGCCTAACATGCATTTTGCTAACTGGAACTGGAGCAGCAAAACAAAGAAAACAAATGCCTCGTTTTCCAGCTTTGTGGGTGAGAGAACTATAAGTGAAGATTATAATGCCGGACACTGATGTCCTTAAACAAGCTGCCTCAGGAATCTGCCAAGAATTTTGCTGAAACTATGTTTCTCATCTTAGCAACGGAACTAAGATTTATCACACATCTGCCCACCTTTATTCAAATGACGCTCCTTCTGATCTGACAGTTCAGGCATTGTCAGTTTCGTCTAGAACAATTTGCAAACTTGGAACCAAATCCTGTAAACCCTTAATCGTTTGATCAATCCAATTGAAGACTATGGGACTAGTTGCATGTCTATGGACCACTTTTGTGGTAAGAGTTTCAGCCGTCTGTTCTGTTCCTATAAAAGAAGTTGAATCTCCAATTGAAATGCAATGTTTTGGTACAATACCATAAAGCAGTTTAGGATACAGTTCTACTTAAAATTTGTCTTCTAACAAGTCATACATATGCTGAAATGGCTCCTTACCCAACTCCCATATTCCATATAAACAGACTGAAATACTACATATTTTGGGGGAAAGTGAGTAGTTAAGCATGTTGATGTTTGTATATCCAAACACCCATTTCAGCATTGTACTGGAAAATATAGCTGAAGAAAGTTTAACAGCCCCAATTGTTTTCTGTGTTAATCAGTGTGAACCTGAAAAAATTACATGCCTTCTAAGAGAAAAGAATCAGTCCACACTTACTGAAAAAAAAATTCCTTCCAACTGGTGTTCAGAAGAGCGCTACAAGCCACATACATAACCTCATGAGCAGAGGGCAGAGAGGTTTCCCTCCCACATTATGACCCGCAAAATAATAAAGAATAATAATAATAAAATCTCAGAGAGGCAGAGTTTCACAGATTTGCAAACCTAAAAACTTGTGTTATGCTTTAAACCACCTTAGCACATAACTTTTTAATGTTTATAAACCTGGTAACTGCAAAGGAACACTGAAGCCCATTAACCTGAATGTGTGCCAGTCAGTATGCCCTCACTGACTAAAGGTGCAATCACACCTGAACAGCTAAAAATTAACCTTGCCCTTTTAGGCTAAATAGAGTCATGTGTCTAGCTCCATCTCTGTTGTTCCATAATAGATAACAAAACTCTAGTGGGGCATGGTGTTGGCCCATAGGGTCTCAGGTACATGGTGTGATTTTTCAGAATCTGTTTGGGAATAGTCATGTAGGTGAAATAGCTGGTACTTATGATTATGCTATTTCTATGCATGTATATTCATCTTGGTATCTGAAGTTATATTAGCTATGTTTACTACATGTTTGCTCCTGTGGTAATGCCCACAAGGTATTTAGCCAGCACATGAAGGAACAAGTCAAGTTGAATGGCCCATTAAGAAACACTTAGCTCATAATGGACCCCGGAAAATGCCTGTCTACACTTAATGGACTTTTTGGTGAATGTTCTAACTAGAATATGGGTGGGGGTGATGGACATGTAACTTGCTCATGTGACTTCAAACACCATCGTTCACAGTAAGAACAGATTTCCCTTTACTTGGCACTTGGCAGAAGCTAAAAGGCCCTGGCCTGGAAACATATAATTTTTTGCCTCTTTCCTGCTCCGGCCTCTGGACTATGAACATATACTAATGGGAGCATTCTAACCAAGGGACTGAGGACTTTAAGGTAATTTGGAGCCTTCCTATTTCCTTGATCCTTTGCAGATGGACTTATGAGTTGGATATGGTACAGAGACTGTCCTAGCCTCATTGATTGCTGATTTCTCCCTTGCAATGGACAAAGATCAGATGTCTGCTGACTTTCTCACATGAATCAGCAGCCTTTGATACCTGTGGCATAAGCATCATAGCCCTTGTTTGTGTGGTTTTATTCTTTCCTCTCCAAATGTCAAAGCTTGTTCCCATTGAACTCAACAGCAAAACTCCTTTTGATCTCAATCGGAACAGGGTTTGGCCCCAAGAGATCAGAGAATGTGATTTTGATCAATTGTTTATCTGTCATGCATGTTCTGCCAGGCTGATTTTGATTGCCCCTCCTGTATGTCATGCTGAGGAAAATAACAAAACAATTTGGGCTGTAGTTCTATCAAGATGTACACGGCACACACAGTTCTATGCCTCTTTTCCATCAAACCCAGATGGCGCAGCATCTTTGCTTTCCTAGTGCCTGGCGGAGAGCAATACTTAGATAAAGGCAAGCTGGCAGAAGCTTAGTTTGGACATAAGGGAAGCACTGATAGTGTGTTAAGGGAAAGAGGAGTGATTGTCCTTCCTATCCTTCTTTCATTTAAAAGTGTTCAATTTGGGGTGCTGCTGGATCCTCAATGACACCTGGAAGCATAGGTGGCACCAGGGGCCCAAAGCATCATTTTAACAAATGCAGTTGTAAAATTTTAGACAGGTAAGGGGGGTGTCAGAGGGGATGTGGAAAGTGTGGGGGCCCCAGAAGGGGGTCAGGGTCACATGGAGGGTCACGTGGGAAGGTCAG